AGATCCTGGCACAGATCCTGGCACAGCCCTGGCACAGATCCTGGCACAGATCCTGGCACAGCCCTGGCACAGCTCTGGCACAGCCCTGGCACAGATCCTGGCACAGATCCTGGCACAGCCCTGGCACAGGTCCTGGCACAGCTCTGGCACAGCCCTGGCAAAGATCCTGGCACAGATCCTGGCACAGCTCTGGCACAGCCCTGGCAAAGATCCTGGCACAGATCCTGGCACAGCTCTGGCGTGGCGCTCACGCCCTGCCGGCCCCCGCATCCTCTTCTGGCCGGAGAACAGAGCTCTGGCACAGCCGCCAGCGGTGCAGAACATCTGGTCTGACACCTGGAGAGATCTGGGATCCGGGGATCCCACGGGCAGCTGGGGAGATCTGGGATCCAGGGATCCCCTGGGGGAGATCTGGGATCCGGGGATCCCCTGGGCAGCTGGGGAGATCTGGGATCCAGGGATCCCCCGGGGGAGATCTGGGATCCGGGGATCCCCTGGGCGGGTGGGGAGATCTGGGATCCAGGGATCCCCCGGGGGAGATCTGGGATCCGGGGATCCCCTGGGCAGCTGGGGAGATCTGGGATCCAGGGATCCCCCGGGGGAGATCTGGGATCCGGGGATCCCCTGGGCAGCTGGGGAGATCTGGGATCCAGGGATCCCCCGGGGGAGATCTGGGATCCGGGGATCCCCTGGGCGGGTGGGGAGATCTGGGATCCAGGGATCCCCGGGGGAGATCTGGGATCCGGGGATCTCACGGGCAGCTGGGGAGATCTGGGATCCGGGGATCCCCTGGGCGGGTGGGGAGATCTGCGAGCCGGGAACTGCGGCTGGCGCTGGGAACCGGAACCGGTGCCTTGATCCAGAGCTGGTGCTGCCACCCTGAGCTGCTGCCAGGTCCCGCAGCTGGTGCCGAGAGCAGCTCCAGGAACCGGAACCGGTGCCAGGAACAGGAACCGGTAACTGGAACCGGTACCAGGAAGTGGAGCCGGTACCAGGAACTGGAGCCAGTGGGACCCAGAGCCGGTACCAGGAACAGGAACTGGTACCAGGAACAGGAACTGGTACCAGGAACTGGAGCCAGTGGGACCCAGAGCTGGTGCCAGGAAGTGGAGCCGGTACCAGGAACAGGAACTGGAGGGAGAACAGGCGTGTGTGCAGCCCCAGTTCGTGTGTGCACACCTGGGTCTGGGCACACCTGGGTGCGGGCACACCTGGGGCTGGGCACACCCGGGTGCGGGCACACCTGTGAGCGGGCACACCTGTGAGCGGGCACACCGGGGTGCGGGCTCAGGCGGACACCGGCTGGCTGCAGGCCCGGCCCGGAGCATCACCCGTGTGCACGTCTGTGCACACGCACAACCGGAGGGGTCTCGGGGGCTTCAGAGACCCCCGGTGCCCCCCGCCACATCCACTCGTTGGCATGGCGTGGCACTGCCCCCCGACCCCCGGCCCCACCGGTGGCCTCATCGGGGCCACCGCGTGCCAAAGTGACCGCGGCAAGCCCAGCACAGCCGCACCCACCCCGCGGGGCGCGGAGAGCAGCGAGGAACCCCGGGACCCGACACCGGGGCGGCGCCGTGAGGCACCGGCAGCGCCGAGGTCGGGGTCCTCTCCCGGCTCCACAGGACACCCGGTCCCCACCGTGTCACCCGCTCAGACCCCCCGTTCGATCCCCACCGTGTCACCCGCTCAGACCCCCCGTTCGATCCCCACCGTGTCACCCGCTCAGACCCTCACCCTGTCCTCACCGTGTCACCCGCTCAGACCCCCGCCCGTTCTGGCTCCGGCCCTACCGGGGCTGCCGCTCGCTCCGTCCGTGCGGCTCCGGTGCTGGCGCAGCCGCTGTGGCCGCGGTCATGTGCCGGTGCCGGCACGGGCGCAGGGAGCGAATCCCCCGGGCAGAGCCGGACAAAGAGCCCTTTTCAGCGGCGCTGGGCCCCGCGGGCCCCTCGGCGTCAGGGGACAAAGGTCCGGCACGCTTGGCACCGCCAGCGCCGGGCACTCCCTGCCCGGGGCACCCGCGGGGCAGCGGCCTCTGCACGGGGTGGGCGTGCGGCCAGGACCCCCCCGGCCGCACCCCGGGCCCTCGGGGCTCCCACCGGCGATCCGGGGAGCGGGGCTGGGGCGGCTGGCACGGGGCTGGGAGGGATCCCGGGGCTGGGAGGGATCCCGGGGCTGGCACACGGCGGCGGGGCCGGGCGGGATCCCGGGGCTGGCACACGGCGGCGGGGCTGGCACACACCGGGCCGGTGCCACCGCACCCGGCCCCGGCACCGCCCGTGCCCGCGGGTCGGTCCCGCTGGTGCCACACCCCTGCCCGCTCCGTGGGGCTCCCCAAGGGGCTCCCTGAGACCCCCGGTCCCACTCGTGTCACACCCCTGCCCGCTCCGTGGGGCTCCCCAAGGGGGTCCCCGAGACCCCCGGCCCCACGCTCGCCCACCCGTGACCTGGGGCAGCTCAGTGGGCAGCACGGGCACGGAGGGGACCCCCTGCACCCCTCCCTGCCCCCCCTGCACCCCGCTGGGGGGTCCCACCCGGTGGGCAGCGGTGCCGCCAGCACTGCCCATGGAGGGGGCTCTGCCCCCACCCACGGGACACCCGGGTACCCCCCGGAACAGCTCGGGGAGTGGGTGGGGAGCAGGTGAGGAGCAGGTGAGGAGCAGGTGAGGAGCAGGGAACAGGCAGAGGTGCAGGAGTGGCCAGGTCCAGCCCTGGGGTGGCCCAGAGCCACCGCCCAGCACAGCCACCTGTCAGGGGGACACAGCACCCACACACAGGTGCGCAGCTCCCGGTGCTCCCAGCTGGGCCTGGGCCCCCATCCACACCAATCCCAGTCATCCCATTTGGGACTGGAACATCTCCCCCCACCCCCCAATCCCTCCTCAATCCCAGCCACGCAAAAGGTTCCAATTTATTCCAAATTTTATTTCCAGCTTCATTTAAAATTTCACTAATGTCACACAGGTGACCCCAAGTCCTCCTGTCCCCCTCCCGCCCTGGCACGGGGGTGCCCAGGAGCGTGCCCAGGTGAGGATCCCCCCGCCCCGAGCTCCTGGGCAGGGCAGGAACCTCCCTGCGCCCCGAGTCCCGACGGCAGGGCCCCCTGGACACCGAAACCCCCACAACAGCACCGGGACACGCCGGGGGGATAAAAGGGGGTCCTCGAAGCCGGGGGGGCTCAGAGGGGGCCCCCGTGGCGGCTGCGGCAGGTGATGAGGTACTGGGGGTAGGCCTGGGTGTCGTTGAAGATGACGAAGATGTCGGGCTGCCGGGGGTCATCCACCACGCTGTGGTAGCGCCGGGGGACCCCGGAGCCCTCCCGCAGCGGCGGCGCCCGCAGCCCCGCTCGCCCGGCCGCGAACTCCCCGCTCAGCACCTTGGCCATGAAGATGAACTTGGTGCCGCTGGCGCTGGGCGGCGAGTAGCGGTCCCGCGCCGAGACGGCCGCGCGCACCGCGAAGTACACGCCGAGCCCGTAGAGCGTGGCTGTGGGGGTGGGCGTCAGCCGGGGCACGGGGGGTGCCAGCGGCACCGTGCCCACCTCGGCACCCCCTTCCCGTGCACCCATGGTCACCCCATTCCTGTGCAGATGGCACCGTGCCCACCTCGGCACCCTGTTCCACACCGAGGGCACTGTGCCCATCTCACCACCCCATTCCCACACCGAGAGCACCGTGCCCACCTCGGCACCCCATTCCCATGCACCCATGGTCACCCCATTCCTGTGTTGATGGCACCATGCCCATCCCAGCACCCCATTACACACCGAGAGCATCGGGCCCACATTGGCACCCCATTCCCACACCGAGGGCACCGTGCCCACCTCGGCACCCCTTTCCCGTGCACCCATGGTCACCCCATTACTGTGCAGATGGCACCACACCCACCTTGGCACCCCATTCCCACACCGAGGGCACCGTGCCCACCTCGGAACCCCCTTCCCGTGCACCCATGCTCACCCCATTCCTGTGCAGATGGCACTGTGCCCTCCTTGGCACCCCATTTACACCCCGAGAGCACCGTGCCCACCTCGGCACCCCTTTCCCGTGCACCCATGGTCACCCCATTCCTGTGCAGATGGCACCACGCCCACCTTGGCACCCCATTCCCACACCGAGGGCACCGTGCCCACCTCGGCACCCCGTTCCCACCCCGCGCTCGCCCCAGAGCTGCCCGGCGCTCACCGTTCTTCCCGCAGAAGCTGCGGTTGAAGCCGTGCAGGCAGATCTCGCGGCTGGAGGCCTTGGTGGTGCCGTGGAAGAGGACGCGCTCCACGGCGGTGCCGGCGGCGCAGGCCCGCTTGACGCTGCCTTTCTTCAGCTGGTACTGCTTGTACAGCACCGGGTGGATCAGCTTCTGCACCTGCCGGGCACCGCCGCGTCACCGCCGAGCCACGGGGACGCGCCGGGGGGGGACACGCGCCCACGCCCACCTGCACGATGCTGATCTGGTCCTGCAGCTCCTCCAGCGTCCCGCAGAAATGCTGCGCCGCCTCGGCGAACTCCTCCGAGTCCTCGGCCAGCGGCATCAGCCGCACCTCCTCCTCCAGCCCGGCCAGCTCCGGCCCTGCCGGACACGGTCCCGGTGAGCGCGGGCGCGGCGAGGGGCAGGGCCGGTCCCACGGTGCCCGGGCTCACCGAGCAGGCAGCAGGTGCCGTCCAGCGGGGGCTGGCTGCGGCACACGGGCACGGCGCGGGCGCTGCCGATGTCGAACTCCTCCATGCGCTCCAAATCCACGGTGAAGGGCCTCCCGTCCAGCACCAGATCCAGCCGGCGCTCCTGACGCAGCCAGGCCTGCTCCAGCTGCGCCGCGGCCTCGGGGCCGTAGGGGACAGCGGTGCCAGACGAGTCCCAGCGCACCCAGTGCGCGGTGGTGGCGGTGGTGGCGGTGGTGGCGGTGGCACCGTGCCGCGGCGGCGGCACGCTCCGGAGCAGCCACGCGAGCTCCTGTGCGGCAGGCTCCACGAAGCCGGCGAAGCCTCGCAGCGTGGCGGTGCCACCTTGCAGGGCGAGCTGCACGGCGTGGCGGCGGCGCAGCAGGGCCAGCGCGCAGCGGCCGGCGGCTGGCAGCGCCCGCAGCCGCTCGCTCGCCACCTCCCGCGCCCGCAGCCGCGCCGCCAGCTCCCGCTCCAGCTCCCCCGGCACCGCCGACGCGTCCTGCTCCGAGGAGCAGAACACCGTCACCCGCACGGCGTCTGCCGCCAGCAGCGCCTCCTCCAGCGAGGCCTCCAGCGCGGCCAGCAGCCGGGCATCCTCCTCGGCCCGCTCCTGCTCCCGCTCCCGGCTGTAGGAGCGCAGGGACAGAGCGGTGGCGCGGGCCAGCTCCTCCTCCTCGCAGCACGTGCGGTCCATGGAGTACTGGATGGCCAGAGCCATCTGCACCTCCTCCTCCACGCCGGTGTCCGACAGCAGCTCCCTGGCACCGTCCCCGCCGGCCGCGCAGGGGAACTCGGCCTCCAGGTCCCACTCGCCGCTGGCGACGGGCTCGGGCCACGGGCCGGGGCTCCCACGCCCGGCGGGGCCGCGCGGCTGCAGCGCTGCCAGCACCTCCTTGATCTCCTCTGCGGGAGCAGCGCGGTGTCAGCCCCGGGGCAGCACCGGCCCCACGGCCCCCTCACCCCACTGCGGCACCGCAGCGGCACCGCCGCCCCTCACCTGCCCCTCACCTGCGCTGGAGCGAAAGCCGCTGTCGCCGCCATCCCCGGTGTCCTCAGAAGCGGCGTCGCTGTCCTCGGGCAGGTCCCGGTGCCAGGAGGGCGAGCAGAGCTCCCGGTGGCTGCCTGGGGGCAGCAGCTCCTCCAGCTCCAGCTGCGGGCACGGACGGGCGGCATCGGGAGCGCTGCTGCGGCACAGCAGGCACCGGCACGGTGCCGGAGCGCTGGCGGTGAGGCTCACCTGCGGATCCGGAGGGCTCCAGGGCTCCCCGTGCAGCTGGATGATGCAGCCGAAGCGGCTCTCCAGCTGCCGCAGCAGGCTCTGCCCGGCCGGCTCCCGCAGGAAGCGGGCGACGCCGGGGAAGCGCAGCGTTGTGGGGTGCGAGGCCACCGAGTCCAGCAGGCTCTGCAGGAATTCCGCCACCGCCCGGCACCGGGCCGGCTCCCCGCTCACCTGGCGGCGCACGGGAAAAGGGCTCGGTACCGGGGCGCCAGCACCTGCCTGCTCACCTGGGCGGGTGTGGACAGGTGTGGGCAGGTGTGGGCAGCACCGCGGCGCGGGCGGCCTCTGGCACCGGGACGTGCCAAGAGCACGGGAAGGTGGGAGCACGGCACAGAGCCCTGCCCGCACCCCTGTCTGTACCTGTTGTCACCTGTCCTCACCTGCCTGTACCTGTTCTCACCTGTCCTCACGTGTCTGTACTCATCTGTACCTGTCCTCACCTGTCCTCACCTGCCTGTACCTGTCCTCACCTGCCTGTACCTGTCTGTACCTGTCCTCACCTGCGTGTACCTGTCTGTACAAACCTGTACATGTCTGTACACGCCTGTACCCGTCCTCACCTGTGTGTACCTGTCTGTACAAACCTGTACATGTCTGTACCTGTCCTCACCTGTCTGTACCTATCTGTACCCGCCTGTACCTGTCCTCACCTGTCCTCACCTGCCTGTACCTGTCCTCCCCTGTCTGTACCTGTCCTCACCTGCCTGTACCTGTCTGTACCCGCCTGTACCTGTCCTCACCTGCGTGCACCTGTCTGTACAAACCTGTATGTGTCTGTACACGCCTGTACCTGTCCTCACCTGCCTGTACCTGTCTGTACCCGCCTGTACCTGCGTGTACCTGTCTGTACAAACCTGTACATGTCTGTACCTGTCTGTACCTGTCCTCACCTGTCTGTACCACCCTGTACCTGTCCTCCCCTGTCCTCCCCCTGTCCCAGCCCTGCCCGCCGCTCACCCGGAGCCCGGAGACGTCTCCCCCGTCCAGCGGCAGCAGGGTCACCCCGGGGACGCTGCCGAGCACGTCCCGGTAGTGCTGCTGCAGGAACCGCAGCGCTCCCGGTTCCGCCGGCACCAGCGCCTCGTCCTGCTGCAGCCCCGCCGCTGCCGGTTCTGCTTCTGGGAACAGCCCCGGGCGCTGGGCCTGGCCCGGCACGGCCCTGAACCCCTCCGTGTGCCGGTCCCGGCCGGGGCAGGCGGCTGGCGGCCGTCCCGGTGCCGGGTGCGATGTCGGTGCTGCCGGCAGTGCCGGGACTGCGACGGCCGCGTCCGGTGGTGGGTTCACGTGTGACACCGTGGGGTCTCTGAGCAAGGATGGAGCCGCGTCCGGTGAGGGGCTCACGTGTGACACCGTGGGGTCTCTGACTGAGGACGGAGCCGTGTTCTGCGGGGGGTTCACGTGTGCCACCGTGGGGTCTCTGTCCGGGGACACGGCCGTGTCCGGTGGGCAATCTCTGTCCGGCAAGGGGTCCGTGACCAGGTCTGAGTCAGGAGCAGGGGCCCTGTCCAGAGCAGGGACAGTGTCCGGGGGCAGGTCCGTGCTCCCCTGCAGCAGCTCCAGGAAGGGGTAGTGAGGGGCGAGCTCCAGCACCGCGTCCTGCAGCCGGTGTTGCCTCCGCAGCACCCGCTCGGCGGCTGGGGGAGGACAAACGGACGGGCAGCCGGCGGCCCGGAGCGGCTCCCCGCGGTCCCCGGGGCACCGGCGGGGGTTCCCTGCTCACCTGCCGCCTCCTGGAAGGTGACGATGGCCCCGTGGCCGCCCGGCAGCGGCCGCACGTGGCTCACGCGGCCGCCGCCGCTGCGCCGGTTCTCGAAGTAGAGCTCGAGCAGGTCCCGGCCGAGCGCCGGCCCCGCCGCCCGCACCAGCACCGCGGGGCTCTGCGGCGCCCGCAGCAGCGCCAGCCCCCGCTGCCGCGCCCGCTGCTCCGCCGAGGCCAGCTCTGCGGCACAACCGGCGCTGCCACAACCGGCGCTGGCACAACCGGCGCTGCC